CAATAACCATATATTCAAAAATACACAGCAATCCCAAAACCCGGAACATCGTGAATCACAAACTATAGAAAGAAAATCTAGTGTCTTTATACATCAAAGTCTAACAAAGGAAAAATACAGAAAATAATGGACATGAGAAAGAGTAAAAGGAGACTCCGAGGTCTACGGACGCGACAGATATACCTTGAAGTCTCCAAAGCTGTCCCCACTCACTGATAATGCGGCTGATAAGGAGTACCTGGATCTGCAGATAAAAAAAATGTGCAGAGAGTAGCATGAGTACACCACAATCGGTACCCAATAAGTGTCAAGCCTAACCTCGGTCGAGTAGTGACGAGGTCAGGTCAGGGCCCTACTGGTAAATATATAATAAAACAAGATAGAGTATAATACCGCAGTAAAATAAAGGCTGAAATTGAAAAGAATGAAATCATAGAAGGTAATAGCTCAGTACACAGAAACACAACGGGGGATATCACGAGATACCGTCTCGTAGTCCCAAACGTAAATGTGCAGTACAGAGGGATCTCCCGGAATACCGTTCTGTAGTCCCAAAGTAAATATGCAGTACAAGGGGATCTCCCGGAATACTGTTCCGTAGTCCCAAAGTAAATATGTAGCAAAAATAATAGAATTCAATAATTACGGCACGAAATTCTACAGTTCAACCTAAGTATCAGTTAAGGAAAGACTGGTAAATTTACTAAACATGCTGCACGTAGTTCAAGTAAACAGTTAAGGCATGTAGGCATGCTATTCTAATCTAGCACAATACTACACATACTGATAAAACTCAAATAAGGAAGAAATCAGGTTATTATTTATTAGAAAATCGGGTTTTTTTTACATACTTAGCCCGTGTACATACTCGTCACCTCACGTACACGACGCTCATATATCAAAAACAGTACAATTCTTACGGGGAGTTCCCCTACACAAGGTTAGGCAAGCCACTTACCTCGAACCAAGCTCAATCAATCGGTAAGAATGCCTTTTCCACGAATATCCGACTCCTAATGGCCCAAATCTAGCCAAAACAATTACATATCATAAATACAACTACAATAAACTAATCTTATTAATGAAATCAAAATTTAGATAAAAATTTCAAAATCTGTCCTAAAACGTCGACCCGAGCCCATGTCTCGAAATCGGACAAAAGTCAAAATATCCGAAATCCCATTCACTCATGAGTCTAACCATATAAAATCTACTAAAATCCGACACCAAATGGTCCTTCAAATCCTCAAATCAAACTTTGTAAATCCCTAGTCTCAAACTCCCAAATTCCACCTTAAATACACACTAACTAGGTGAAAAAATAGATGAGGAAGCAAGATTATTGATCGAAAATAAGCACAAGGGACTTACATCAAGAAATCTCTCATAACTTCTCTCAAACATCGTCCTAAACCGAGTTTGCAAAGTCCAAAATGACAAAAATCGCAAAGCCCTTCGGTTTTAAGCACTGCCCAGGTATTTTCACACTTGCGGAGCCTGGGCTCGCACCTGCAGGTGCTCTTGTGCAGAAAATGTGCGCATCTGCGCAATTCACTTACCCCTTCTGTGTCCGCATCTGCGATAAAAGGGCCGCACCTGCGCGTGCGCGCCTGCGAAAATCCTTTGCGCTTCTTCAGTAACTTCGCATCTGCGATTCCTCTCTCGCATCTGCGGGCATCGTAGATGTGGAACTAACCTCGCACCTGCGATCCTAGCTCAGGCTGCACAAATCCGCTTTTGCGCCAATTTGCTCGCACCTGCGAGCAACCTTGCGCAGGTGCGATTACAGTAGAACCAATACCAGAAAAATCTTCCAAGTCCAAATATGATCCGATAACCATCCAAAACTCACCTTAGGCCCCCCGAGACCTCAACCAAACATACCAACAAATCCTAAAACACCATACAAACTTAGTCTAGCCCTCAAATCACCTCAAACAACTCTAAAATCACGAAACACCCTCCAATTCAAACTTAAAGAACTTGAAACTTCAAAATTTTACAGCCGATGTCGAAACCTATCAAACCACGTCCGATTGACCTCAAATTTTTCACACAAGTCATAATCAACATTACAGACCTACTCCCACTTCCGGAATCGGAATCCGACCCCGATATCAAAAACTTCACTATTGGCCCAAAACTCCAAAAATTTGACTTTCGCCATTTCAAGCCTAAATGAGCTACGGACCTCCAAAACACAATTCGGACACGCTCCTCAGACCAAAATCACCCAACGGGGCTAACAGAACCGACAAAACTCCATTCCGAAGTCTTCTTCACACAGTTTCGACTATGGAAAGAAATCTTAAGACTTAAGCTTCCGTTTTAGGGACTTAGTGTCCCAAAACACTCCGAAACCAAAAATAAAAACTCCTGGCAAGTCACATAAGTAGAAAAAGATACGGGGCAAACAGTAAATAGGGGATCTGGGCTAATATACTTCAAACGACCGGTCGGATCATTACAGTGTCCCTCATTGGTGGTGAAAAAAAAAGTGAATATGCTTATATTGAGAAAGCACTTCTCTTGGTGTTAAATAAGTTAGAAAGTAAGTAAGCCTTGTGTCGTCGTCGCTCGACTTCGGCGATTGATTGATTAATCTTTTTGGATAAAATTTCTTTAATTATTTAATAAAATATTAATTAAATTAGCCAAATATCTAACCCGAACCGGATCCGTGCGCGACCCGATTCACTTTTTCCCCGGATTTTGATTTAAATTTTCCTCCCATTTTTAAGTGACTGAGTACTTCCATTGGATATAAATTTGTTTGATTCCTTAGATTTTTCCTTACGAATTTTCTGAACTTCAAGACTTATTCTTCTTATGCACAAATCTATTGCAGTGTGATTTACTACCATTGAGTGGTTCGCTGACACCATCGTTCTATCCTGGGAGGATAATATTCCAGCACTTCGGGTACTTTAGGGGAATAATTTTCTTAAGGACACACTGTGCATTCAGTGGGCTCGATTTATTCCGAAATTATTTTTTCTGTTGCTGCTAACTTTCTGTTTCTGTTTTCTGTTTTAGAAAGATTATTGTTTCGTTATTAATTATAGTAATACAGATTGTCTAACAATCTTAAGAAAATTATTTATTGTAATCTGTATTCTGTTTTTGGAGATTAAAACCTTCGACTAAATTTGGTTTTTTAATTTACTTACTTATTTATTTTTTTGTATAAGTAAGGTATTTGGATTATTTAGAGGGGTATTTTAGTAATTCAACTTTTAGCTTTTGGTGTTCCCACTCTTATAATAACTAATCTTATAGTACGCGCTTTGCGCGTATACCCAAATTAATTAATAAATAATTTATACATTATAAACAAGTTGTTTGATTTTATATAAGGTAAATTATAATTAATTTTAACTGTCCTAATATTAGAATAGGAATTTATATATAGAAATTTAAATAAGGAAAGCTTTAATAAGCAAAGTTTTAGTTGACTTTAAAGTTCAAAATCTTAGGAAAATAATTAAATTACTATTTTATCTAGCAGGAAATCTATTTTTAAAGAATAAAAAAGATGAATGATATTTAGCTAAGTAGTCCTAAACATTAGGCAAATAATTAAATGGCTATTTTTAGTATTAAAAAAGAATTAATGACTATTCTTACAGTAGAAAAATAAGTTGAATTACTATTTTATCCAATATAAATATATTAATAAGGGGCATAAACGGCGAACGACATTTCGCTAAGGGTCTTTGTACTTTAATATAGGGTACGCGTTTCACGTGTGTACCCCATATCAATGAATATATAAGTTTCTAAGTATGAGTTTTTGAAATTAGTAAATATTGATCCCATATAGCTATCTTAATAAAGGAAGAAATTTTTCTCTACATAAATCCTTAGATGCCTTATTACGATTTCTAACGAATTATGGAAATATCTATGAAAGTTTTTGTTATTTTTGTGACCTAATACTAAACGGTATGTGCTTTGCGCGTATTCCCTAAGTCAATAAGCAAATACTTTAAAAAAAATAAGTCAAAAAATGGACTACACTTTTAATGACAAAGAATATTTACAGGAAAATAATTATAGAAAATTGATACATATACAATAGTTTATATATCTAATTTGGGAAAAAATATATGTTGAATGAAGTTTAAAGATTTCTTTATAAAATTCATATGTTCATGTCCCTAGCTTACGTTTACGAACAATAAAAAAAATATTATAAACAAATTAATTAATTTAAATAAGATAAAATAACTTGAATAAGGTCATTAATGACTTCTTTTATAGGAGTATTTGGCTTTATATAATACAAATAAAAAAAGAATTTAACCAATAAAATCATGTATAACTCAAATATAGAAAAAAAGAAAAGAAGTAGCCAACATTATTTGTAGTTTTAATTTTTGTGCTCTAATTCAGTAACCAACTTTATTTGTTGTTTCTTACTGTTTTTTAAATAAAATAATTAAATTATGAATGCTTAATTGGTTATAGTACCATAACACAGAAACTCCTAAACGTAGAGCAACAAATCTGAATGACGATAAATTGAAATTAATTTCTTAGATTTTGTTTGAAGAATTTTCATGGGTCCCTATTTCATAAAAATTATTAAGTTACATAATTTAAATAAACACTAATTTATATAAGGTCAAATTTTAATTTATTTTATGGAAATAATTTAATTACTATTCCTAAAAAGTAAAAAATTAATTACATGGATATTCCTAAATAGTAGAGAATTAATTAAATGACTATTCCTAAATTTTAGGGAAATAATCAAATGATTATTTTATCTAGTGTGAACTTTATTTTTAAATGGTAAAAAAGACGAACGATATTTCGTTAAAGACTTTTTTTTCTAAATATAGATATAGATATATACATAAACGGATAATAATGAACTAAGCGTGTAATCTAAAATGAAAATGACATATTAGTAGGCATTTGGCAAAGATTGTTTTTCTAAACTTTCCGATTCAATCTCCGTAGGGACATGATGGTTAGAAATTGACCATATTTGACTTTCGTGTCCCTTTCAATTTTTTCCAATCTCTGTCTCCGTTCTCACCCATTCCCAATTCCAAACCCAACAACGGCGCCACTACAATCCAAAAACCCAAAAGGCAAAAGCAAAGCAGTAAAGCAAGGAGCAAAGGCTGCAACGCACTTCTTTCCATTACCATTTTTCTACAACTTTCCTTTCTACTCCAGGAAATTGAAAACACCAACATTTCAAGCAACTGTAAAGCACAACAAGAAGCATCAGCAGCAACTCTTGATTTCTCTTGAAACCTGCTAAAAAATCCAACTTTAGATCATGGAAGAGTAATATTTCACCTCCCTATCTACATTTGTGATTTATGTCTCTGTTTTTGTTCATTCATTTGTAGATATTGTAGCTTTTATATGTTTTTTCTTGAAATTTTCGCAGATCTGAGACATACCCAAAAGAATACTTATCCCCACAACCAAGAAGAGCTACCTTAACCCCGTCATCTTCTAATTCAGCTGCAACAACCAGTGTCCACGTCACTGCTTTAGACGGGCTAGTGAATGTGAACTCACTTTTCACCATTGCAGTCTTTGTGGGTCTTTCTTTAACCACACCTGGCCAGAAAAGTCTCGAGGACCGTACAGCTTGTGATGCTGGCATTGAAGTGGTCAGGAAATTGTTGGTATTTGAGGTTGTCTCATTCAGCTTTTTTCTCTTCTCTTCACTTGTTGCACAGGGCCTTAAATTGGCAATTAATCTTTTGAATAGCAAAGATGTTGATGAGGCTTTTAAGGCTCACATTAATCCGAAAGTGCTGAGGCTTGGGATGTTGGGCTCTGCTGTTGGATCTGTAATGGGGTGTTTGTTCTTGATGCTTTCAATGGTCAATGTGATTGAGATTCGGCTCGGGATGTTATCTTGTGGGAGTAAATCTGCAATTCATGCTGTCACGGCCTTGATCATTCTGGTCACCTCTGCTCTTGTGGTTTATATTTCTACTGCTGTATATGCATTTCTGCACTGAAGTGAATCTTTTATTAATAGTACTGTTTGTTAGTTTTCTGTATTCGAATGTTAGTGAAGCTTGCAAGTTGTAGTCATGTGTGAGATGAATATCAGTTTTGCTATGTTACATCTATCGGCGGGACACTCCAATATTATATAATTTCTCAAGTGATCTTTTAGGGTTTCTAATTTTAGTGATGATTAGGTCTTTTATTGTTTGAAGTTATTAGTTCGAGTGAAATCCATTATTATCTTTTGGATGTTTGTTAAATGGAATGGAGGGTGGTGTTTGAAAAATTTGTTCACCATAGTATCTTTTGGTGTCTGTCAAATGGGATGGAGAGGGGTATTATATTGAACTTTGTTCACCGAAGTTTCTTTTGGGTGTTTGTCAAATGGGATGGAAGGTGGTGTATGCTTTGTTCGCCTTGAAATAAAGGCTGCTATATGTTGGATAATCATTGTTCTTATGGAGGAGTAAAGTGCAGCTGAGTCATTTCTATGCCCCATTTTTTTGTCAATCATATTTTTCCCTCTCTGAGCATGTATATTGGTTTGCTCCAACTTCGTTGGAACTTGCAGAAAGCATCCTTCTTTATGTTCGATATATATGATTTCTGCATAAGATCCTAATTGAGTTGGGTTCTGTGTAAGCTAGTTGCGTTATATCTATATCTTATGATGTTGTTCTGGTAAACAAATGCTATATACACTAACCTATCCGAATTTGATTTGATTTGATTTGCTAGTTCACCAACTAGAAGCTAGGCGCATTTCTCTGAATTCAAGTTTGGGGGACATCTTGCATGTTGGCACATATCCTTTGTGTGTACCTGCCCTAGTAGAACCTGTATGAAAACTGCTGCTCAACGTGGTTCTCATTGAATTAAGCTTCTACTTTGTTCAATAGTATCTTATTCGAGTCAATCATCAAACTATATTGGACATCATGGCTTTTAGGCGATCAGGATTGACAAAGGAACTTGGCTTTAACTATCTACGCAATAGGAAAATGATTAGCCAAATTGAGGTGTGGTTATTAAGGAAGTTTTCTCATGTATGATGAAGACTTAAAGCTTAGATAGGATTATCAGAATTTTGTTTTGAAACTGAAAATTAACGTCCACTATAGGAGGCTCCCTTCTTGAAAAATTACTACCTAGTTTCTGGGAAAATCAAGATCCAGCAAGTGGCTGATCACTGGATACTGAAAAGGCTGGCTACAAGTGGCTCCCTTCTCTCTGCTACACTGCCGCTTCTTTCTTTTCTTGAACACAAAGCGGGCGTTCTCTCTTTCCCCAACTCCGTTCCCTCCCATTTCGTTCTGCGTGTGTGTGTGGTGTGTTTGTGAACAGGTTCTCCGATCAGATTTCCGGCGCAGACTACAGCGTCGGCTGTGGAATTCAAGTCAGGCAGTTTTCCGGTGAGCAGTTTTCCATTCGGGTGGTCGGCGCTGCAGTTGGAGGTCAGATTTCCGGCGGGTATCTTGGCTCAAGGCGACATCCAACTAGGGTCTAGTCGATTTGGCAGTCCGTCTACAATCCAGGTTCCGTCGCTCTTGTTTACTTTTATCGGGAGTTGGTACCTCCTATTCTTCAATCAGTAATTCTATTTTCCTTGTTAACCAGTTAGTTTGGGATAGATTCAACCTAATTCTTGATTATCTACTTGTACTCTTAATTAGTGTATTTGCTCGTCTACTTTCTTGATAGTAATTGTCTTGGGATTTCTAGTATGTAGATTATAGTTATTTTAATTACTTGTACTCTTATTTAGTGTATTCACCTATTTTTCTATCCTTTAGTTGTAGATTATAGTTCCTTTGTTTTATTTCTTCACCTGTTTTTCTATTCTTTAGTTGTAGATTATAGTTCCTTTAGTTCCTTTGTTTTATTTCTTCACATGCTTTTCTATTCTTTAGTTGTAGATTATAGTTCCTTTGTTTTTTTTCTTCACCTGTTTTTCTATTCTTTAGTTGTAGATTATAGTTCTTTTAGTTCCTTTATTTTATTTCTTCACCTGTTTTCTGACCTTTAGTTGTAGATTATAGTTTCCGTTAGTTCCTTTATTTTATTTTTTCACTTGTTTTGCGACCTTTAGTGGTAGATTATATTTCGAAAATTCATTTTATTTTTGTCGCTTGTTTTCGGGATTGTGCTTGTGTAGTGATTCCTAGATTATAGTGGGTTTGGTGAACGATGGTAGGGTAAGGTCTTGTCCTCGGGAGTGTCAGCGTGTGGGAGGGGGTGCGAGGTTAAGAGGGGTAAGAGGGCTAAGGGAGCTACTAGGCTGAGAGTGGGGTCTTGGAACATAGGAACTTTGACTGGAGAATCTGTAGAGTTAGCGAAAATTCTCGAGAAAAGGAAGATTAATATAGCTTGTGTACAGGAGACTAGGTGGGTAGGAGATAAGGCGCGGGATGTGGGCAGTTTCAAACTTTGGTATTCTTGGAGGGTGGGGGCAGGAATGGAGTAGGTATCTTGGTTGATAAGGATCTCCGTGAACTAATGGTGGAGGTTAGGAGAGTGAATGACAGGCTGATGACTTTTAAGCTAGTTGTTGGAGGTTTTACTTTGAACATAATCAGTGTGTACGCACCCTAAGCAGGCTTGGATGAGGAAGTCAAGAGGCGTTTCTGGGAGGATTTAGATGAGATGGTGCGTGGTATCCCGCATATCGAGAAGCTTTTCATAGGAGGAGATTTCAACGGCCACATTGGAGCGACGTCTGGGGGGTATGTTGATGTGCATGGTGGTTTTGGTTTTGGAGATAGAAACGGAGGAGGAACGTCTCTGCTGGACTTTGCTAGAGCATTTGATTTGGTGTTAGCAAACTCGAGTTTCCCGAAGAAGAGGGAGCACTTGGTCACCTTTCGGAGTTCGGTGGCCGAGACTCAGATTGATTATTTACTCTGCAAGAAGTCTGATAGAAGCCTTTGCACGAATTGCAAGGTCATCCCGAGTGAGAACCTCTCGACCCTTCATAGGCTCCTGGTCATGGACCTTGAGATCACGAGGAAGATGAGGAAGAGGGCGATGTATAGCCAACATAGGATAAAGTGGGGAGCCTTGACGGAAGCTAAAGTGCAGGAGTTGGGGGTCAAGCTGGTGACTATGGGGGCGTGGAGTAGTAGTGGGGACGCAAGCGCTATGTGGACCACGACTGCGCAGTGCATTAGGGAAGCCGCGAGAGAGGTATTAGGGGTCTCAAAGGGTTACTCTGGTGGTCACAAGGGAGACTGGTGGTGGAATGGAGAGGTGCAAGAAAAAGTAAAAACCAAGAAGGCAGTGTATCTGAAGCTAGTAGAGAGTGTTGACGAGGAAGAGAAGAGGGTGAATAGGGAGCATTATAAGTTGGCTAAGAAAGAGGCAAAGCTAGCAGTTACGGCTGCCAATACTGCAACTTTTAGTCATTTGTATGAGGAACTCGAGGGCCGAGGTAGGGATAAGAGGTTGTTCAGGTTAGCCAAGGCGCGAGAAAGGAAGGCGCGTGACTTGGACCAAGTGAAGTGCATCAAGGATGAAGAAGATAGAGTTTTGTTGGATGATGGACTTATTTGTCGGAGATGGCAGACCTACTTTCATAGTCTCTTGAACGAGGATGGGGACATGAGCATTGTACTGGGTGATTTGGAACTCTCTGAGAGTCGTTGTGACTTTGGGTATTGTAGGCGGATTAGAGTTGATAAAGTTGAGGGGGCTATGCGTAAAATGAGTAGGGGCAAAACGACCGGCCCTGATGAAATCCCGGTGGAGTTTTGGAAGAGTGCGGGCAAGGCAGGCCTGGAGTGGCTCACTAGGTTATTTAATGTCATTTTTAGAACGAAGAAGATACCCGAAGAGTGGAGGTGGAGCACGATGGTTCATGTATACAAGAACAACGGTGATATCCAAAATTGCAATAACTATCGGGGTATCAAGCTGCTTAGCCATACTATGAAAGTCTAGGAGAGAGTGATAGAGCTAAAGGTGATGAGGAGTGTGACTATTTTCGAGAACCAGTTTGGGTTTATGCCGGGGCATTCGACTACAGAAGCCATCCATCTTGTTAGGAGATTGATTGAGCAGTATAAGGAGAGAAAGAAGGACTTGCATATGGTGTTCATCGACTTAGAAAAAGCGTATGATAAAGTTCCGATGGAGGTTTTCTGGAGATGTTTGGAGGCTAGAGGTGTACCTGTTGCTTACGTTAGGTTGATTAAGGACATGTATGATGCAGTAAAGACCCGAGTGAGGACGGTGGCTGGGGACTCGGACCATTTTTCGGTTATGATGGTGTTGCATCAGGGGTCAGCACTCAGCCCGTTTTTGTTTGCTCTGGTGATAGACGTACTGGCGCGTCACATCCAAGGGGAGGTGCTGTGGTGCATGCTATTTGCAGATGATATTGTATTGATTGATGAGACGCGAGACGGTGTGAACACGCAATTAGAGGTTTGGAGGCAGACCTTGGAATCTAAAGGTTTTCAAGTTGAGCAGGACCAAGACAGAATACTTTGAGTGTAAGTTTAGTGGCGAGACTCAAGGAGGGGCAGGGGAGATGAGGCTGGACTCGCAGGTCATCCCTAAGAGAGGGAGTTTTAAGTACCTTGGGTCTATTATTCAGGGGGATGTGGAGATTGATGAAGATGTCGCACATTGTATTGGGGTGGGATAGATGAAATAGAAACTCGCTTCTGGTATTTTGTGTGACAAGAAGGTGCCACTGAAACTTAAGGGTAAGTTCTACAGAGTGGTGGTCAGACCAACGATGTTGTATGAGGCTGAGTGTTGGCTAGTCAAGATCGCTCATGTCCAGAAGATGAAGGTAGCAGAGATAAGGATGTTGAGATGGATGTGCGGGCACACCAGGTTATATAGGATCATAAATGAAGTTATTCACGACAAGGTGAGTGTGGCCCCTATTGGGGACAAGATGCGGGAAGCGCGACTTAGGTGGTTTGGCCCGGTGAGGAGGAGCATAGACGCCCCGGTGAGGAGGTGTGAGCGATTGACATTGGAGGGCCTACAGAGAGAGAGGTAGAGGTTGGTCAAAGAAGAGGCGGGGAGAGGTGATTAGGCAAGACATTGTCCAGCTTCAGCTAACCGAGGACATGACTCTTGATAGGAAGATATGGAGGTCGAGGATTAGGTTAGTAGAGTAGGTAGTCTAGAATGTTTGTAACAGTAGTATTGGCATGCCGTCTCGCT